CTAACAACAGCAGCACATCACTACCCTTATTCAAAGGTGGGATCTGTCCTGCTATGGACTTCAAGTGAGGAAAGGCCATTGCTACCTCTGGTGTAGCAATCTCCGACATATTTCCTGGGATTTCCGCACATTCTAGCAAGCTTGGTGCTTCTATCTTGGTCGCCCCATCAAGAGATTCCACAATAAGACCACTCAGATTTCTTCCCTTGGTTTCTCTTTCCCCATTACATGTCTTCATGGTGTAGTTTGACCATTCTCCAGAAACTCCCAACACATCAAAGATTCTGGTATCTGCTAATGATTTGTTGCTCTGATCATCAATGAGTATATAAACTTTGGCTCTCTTGTTAGGATTCTTTGCCATGTACACAGTGGCCAAACATATTTTCGCACATGAACGTCCTACTCCATCTCTGCATATTTCCATACAGTTGCTGGTCACAGGTTTTGTAGTAGCAGTGGTATTTGCTTGTGCTGGATTTTGAGTTGTCTGTTGCTCACGATTATGGATATGCATCACTCCTAGGTGTCGGGGGCTACTGCAAACTCCACACTTGATCTCGGCTTTACACTCCCTTGCGAAATGAGTCGTAGATGCCAGACATCTGAAACACACCTTGTGCTTCTTTATAAACTGCTTTCTTTCAGCATCGGACTTTGATAGGAATGTTCTGCATTTTATAAACGGATGCGATCCTTGATGGATGGGGCACATGAAGACTACTTCTCCATTGACACCGCTTTCTACAGTAGTTTGCCTTACGGTGACCGTCGTACGTTTAGGCTTCACTTCCATTCTCGGAGTTTCCATTCCTGTGGGTGTCCTTCCTACAGCTCCAAATATTGGGTCATTGACCTTCTTAGCTTCCTTTTGCACAAATTTTACAAAGTCCCTGAATAGGACAGGCTTCTTGTTTTCCTTTAGGTTCAATGCTATATTCCGCCATCTGTCATGTAGGTAGACTGGTAGTTTGAACATTAACCTCTTCAAGTGTTCGGGATACTCCAAAATTTTGCTTGCATTTACATGCTCTGCCGCATTCATGCATTCTACTAAGAATAAGGCATATTCATCTAGAGCCTTTGGTTCTCCTGGCCTAATAGTAGGCCATTCTAATGCTTTCTTTATGTAAGTGCTTGCGATGACTTCGTTGTCACCATATCTGTCTGAAAGTTGATCCATAGCCGCTTGATAGGCTTTTTCACTGGGAAAATGACTGAAACCACAAACAACCTTGTTGGCCTCCCCCGTAGTTAGTTCCTCCAAATATGTCATTCTCTCTTCACTAGTATCAGTATTTGATACTATTCTACTTTTGAATTGCCTGATGAATTTAGGAAAATCGATGGGGTTTCCAGAAAATCGTTTAACTTCATGTTTTGGCTTCTTCATATTTTTCACGATCTCACTTAATCCAATGCAAGTTTCATTGGATGATGGATTAATCTGCTTTTTGACATACTCCATTGGTGAGGATTAATTCCTCCGCAATCAGCTACTGAACATTCTGGTGTGACATCCAATGCTGGCATTGGTGTTGGTATTATATTATTGCTGTTAGGCAATGCCATTACGTACTCAGACACTCTCTTTGCAGGCTTAGATGTGTATAAGAGACAGCACTATGACTTTTAATCTCGTCGTCAAGCACTGATGCCCTAGCCTCGGCTGCTGCCAGGGATTCCTCTCGCTGTAGGCGTTCCAATTCCAATTGCGCTTTTAACGCCTCTATTTTTGCTTCTGCCTTTTTCTTTGCAAAAGCTGACCGTGCAGCTTCCATCGCTGCATCAGCACGGGCTTGTGCCGCTGTCAGTTCAAGTTGACTCAGTTTACTAGTTGTGCTCGACATCTTCCGTAGTAGATCTCGTATACAGCTTTTTACTATAGAGGACGCAAATGACTGACTCAAAATTGCTCCTCTAGTATAACCCTTTTATTGCTTGTTCA